CTTCTTCAACCAAGTGGTATTCCAAATGGGAACGGAACATAACCCAAGACCAGAACGAATCAAGATGCATGAATTTTGTCTATGGATAATGGCTAGACAATAGGGATAATTTATTATAGCGATGTGTGTTGCTTGAATTTCCTTTTAGTTCCAGAGACCAAAGAGAGAAATCACAGACTTCAGGTAACCATGGGTTTGAGTCCTGACTCCACTATTTAATAGCTATGCAGAGGATCTGTTTTTGGAGGACCCTTGTTAGTCCCTAAATAAGATTTTTCTGTAAACTCTTAAAATTTTTTTAAAAAAATACCCTGGCCCCAAGTCTAGAGTCATCTGTGAACTCCCAGGGTATCTATTCCAGTTCCTTTTGATATCTTACCTCTTTCTTCTATAGAGTTTATTTGATATTATAGAGTCAGATTAAATCTTTAAGCATTCCCTTCTTGAGTTTATACTCCATTTTAGATTTTTTTCCTGAACTTGATGAAATCCATTTTCGCAAAGTCCTTAGCACATATATGACCATATCCAGCCTTTTCTTTGCTAATAAGCACTGCTAATTGTCCAAAGTAGTTTTCACTCACTGAATGTGGTTCTTAGAGGCCAAACTGGGACTCTTAACTTATCTCACTTTTGAAACCAGTGATCCCTAAGAGGTTGGTAAATAAGAGAACTTTTGTTTTGGGATCTCGGAGAGGTGGGAGTTTTCTGTGAAGAAACTGGAGGGAAAATACCAGAATAATAGAGAAATAATCAACCCCCAACTGAATCCTCACCAAACACAATTGAGCCCAAGGGACTATGTAGCCCTATGAGAAAGTAGAGTCCAACGAAGACCGTTGTAAGACTCTACCACTCAGGAGCCCAGGTGGTAAATAGCACCATGGAGTGACAAAGGGACACTTCCTTCACTTCATTGCGCCTCACTGAGAGCTTGGGGGTAGCCAAGGGAGGATATCTGTTCCTGGCAGAGCTGTCCCCATGGAGAGAGCTCTGCAGCTAAGAAGATGGAGAATATGAGCAGGTGATTTCCTCTTGGGCGCGTGGATTTCCAGGGAAGTATTCATCTCCATGATGTGCAGTGATACCCTCTCCTTCTTCTTCTAGCAGATTGGATTCTTTGAATTAGGGTTTAACCTTATCTTGGATTCCAGTCATGGGCCCCTCTTCCTCACTTGCTAATGCCCATGAGGTCACATTTACCCAGCTATCCTATGAAAACATTTCATTACCCATGTTTTAAATCCTGGTATGCAAATATACCAATGTCTTAAGTGTTGCATCCTGTTGCTTTAGCAATGTTTCAACTGTGAAACAGTATGCATCTTTTCTACCAATAGTTAACATTATATTCTCCATGGTAATTCAACAATGGGCATTTCTCTCTTTCTTTTTTTTTTTTTTTTTCATTATACATTATTAATTAAATTGTGGCCTTTGTTATTATAAATGTAATGATTCATTAAACTATATTATGTAATATATTTTGACTTTTTATGATTGAATTTTTATAATTCAGGTTTTAATATCTTTTGAAAAGTCTATCTACACCTTGGGAAAATAATTTCTTTGTCTAAAATTGTGATGTACATTGTCTTATCTTTCTTAAATTTCAAGGTTTTGTTCAAAAACGCACATCTCATTCTTTGAGAATGAGAAGAATGAGCTACTTAATGATCTTTCGTTTTGTCTTTTCTTGTAAAATTCCAGACTTGAGAGGTATTAGGCAAACATCAACTGTGTGTTGAAGTCTGACTTCGTAGGTCTCAAAGGTTCCTCTCAGATTTCTGTTGAGGGCATCCCCATATTTTGGATAGTACCCATCATCTCTCAGCTTTTTACTTGACCTTCTCTTTACCACAGCAGTGGGAAGAATGCTAGACTCATTTGCAAAATTTCTTGCGAGGTGGCATCTGATGGGAGGTAGGAAATGAAAGCTAGAAGGAAAGGAGGAGCCATTTGTATGGTTCCTGCTTGCACGTGTGGCATTGGCAGCGACCACATCAGCGAAGGCAAGAGCAGGGGCAGCGATAGTAGTGATCAGTAGTTTTGGAAAGAACAGAGTAGCGAGGGTGGCTGGTGAATGGCTGGTCCTGAGGTGCCGTGCAGGCAGCAGTGTCCCCATGGTCATGGGACTCTGGGTACAGTCATGTTTCGTTCGTCTCCTCGCTCTAGGTGTGATCGTAGTTGACCGTAATTGTCAGTCATCGGATCAGCTAACCTTTCTGGTTATGCTCCTCTAGACCATCCCAATCCTTTTGCAACAAATTCCTCACATGAGATTCCCTCTCTGATGAACATGTCGATCTGTCTTTGCTTTCCTGATTGGGACCAAGGCATGCTGCTATGAATCCACACGTGTGGGTGACAGTCAGCAGATGTGGGGTGCCCCAGAAGGCATTTTGTCATAATCCTGGAAAAACATCCTAGGAGGACTCAATCACCAATGTGAACTCTTCATCCAACGGTTCTTTATCTCTCAGTAGGGAATCACCAACCCCTGAGACCTGGTGAGAGCTCGTGCGGCAGTCACTGACATTTACAAACTCTTTTGTGCCAGAAAGTCTGCTTTTAAATTATCAGAAAAAAACAAAACAAAACAAAACAAAACACTTTTTGTGTCTGTTGAGTCCTTTCTTTCTTCTTTAAGCTATACAATTCATAACTCTTAACTCCCTGTTTTTTTCTTCCTCTTAGCCTTCCAAGAATGTTGAATTTGTGGTTTTCTTTTGGTTCGTCTTCTCCTTTCTCTAAGAACTCTTCATATTTGCAGATAAGCCGGCTTTCAGAAGGAGCGTTCTCAAGAAAGAGAGGAAGTCGGTAGTAATAATGCTAGCCCAGAGGAACGGATAAGACTGCTCTCCTGAGTCAGGTTAAAATATGAAGCTTATGCTGATGGTGTCAGTGTGGGCAGGAATCTTGTGTCATGGGTAATCATCGCGCGTAGCCCCTATCCAAGATCAAATAAGGAAAAGATTATACTCCTCCAAAAATTAAGAAAGGAACCTTATCCTGAACTATGAGACAATTCCATAGGTTACCACAGTCAAATTCATGCCTGTACTTCTATATTTCAGTTCCTTCATTATTCTGAGCAATGGGGATCCAGGCTACTGACACCTAATCTGGGAAATATTCATGTAATGGCTTTTTTTCCCCAATGGATTACTTAACTTTTAATATTCAGCCTCTCTGTCTCCTTGTACTTTTCTCTCCTACGTCTGTCTATAACACAGATAAGATACATTTAGAAGTTGACACTTGATTAGATACAAAATTTGGAAGAAACAAGATTAAACTGTGCATTTGAATGTTGTCCAGGAGCAGGAAAAGGCACACAGCTAAATTCCTCCAGCTCTTTGTTTCATTACATGACGTTGCTTGGATATCAGCTTATCAACAGATTGAATTTCCACCACCACAACTGCAAGAAGAAGGAGACCTTGCAGAAAAAAGGACGTAGAACATGAATGCCAGCTTTTAAAAAGGGGAGGCTGCATTACAGAGTAAGTTCCTTTTAAGCTAATCAGTCTTTTTGTTTCAGATATGAGTTATTTTGTAGATTTTTTTTCTCCTGAATGCCCCAAGCATTTTAATCAAATTTTATCCAGTACGACACCACTTCAATAGATAAGATAGATTTTCTCAGCAATAGCTCAAGAAAAGCACACATGAATTGTTGCCAGAGAAATATCATCAGTCATTTTCTTATGCTATTTAAGGAGAGGAGAAACCTTTCCAGCTTTGAAGAGTATTTACGCTCTGCTCTACAGATCTGGAAAATGGGGAGAAGGATGCTGAGATGATTCGAGTATAAGATAGAGAGGAGGCTTTAATCACAGGGAATATTAAAAGAGTCTATCTTGGCTGGTATGGTTTCTGGAGTGCATGTTGAAGGAAAACAGTATTCAATAAAATACTGATAGTTGAATTTCTAGGTTCATATCGTGGACACAGGATACAGAGAGGTTGACTGGTACTTTCCTGATACATTTCTGGAAGATCTGAGCCTGAGCTCTGGGAACTCAGACCAGAGTTTTCTCACATGTTGAAATACTTCTTCAGTGTGTACATGTGTGTGCACTTGTGTGTGTACGTGCGCCTGAGCATACGATAGGGTAGAGAAAAGAGAGGAGAAACCAGCATGATTCGAGGGCGTTCTGTACTCATGAGTTCAGTTCATCCAACAACCAGACGAGGAAGGTGTTGTTGCCAAGGGCAGAGTGACGGGCAGAGGGGAAAATACTTGGGTTTTTTATTCTGTACCTCGGCGACCCTATTCCAACAGGTCTGTCCTTCCTTGGATGTTAGTTTTTAATTATTATATATACCTCAGGTGTAATAGTTTCTTTTACAGCGCGACGCTGTAAAATTGCACATCGAAATTTGCAAGAAATGGAGAATGTAGGAAAGGGATACTGCACAGCCACCAAAAACTACACTTTGAAGGATATTTGCTGAGCTGGGACAGTGCACAGCACAGAGAGGATGATCTCTAACATTCCTAAAAATCACACGAAATGTACACGAAAAATAATAAAAGGAAATCAATCAATCAAATGCCAACAATAGTTACGGACAGTTAGATTGTGGGTTATCTTATTTTCAATTTTTACATTTTTCTGAATTTTCCACAATGACATATATTGCTTTTAGAATCACGTAAGATAATACATATGGTTTAAAGTTATCAAGAAAAAAACTGTGTGACACGGTATGTCTCTACAACCCACCTGTTCCGAACATAGCGATGAGAAAGACAAAGGGCTCTGAATTATTTCTCGCATAAAAAAGGGATGAGAACAGAGAAGAAGGGTGCAGAACTCAGCAGTGTGGTGCGGTCCAATTACTGGGAAACGTGTGAGAAAAGGTCTTATCCCTGGAAATAAATAACACTGATCTATTTACTTATTTACTTGCTCATTTACACCCCTGATATGGGTCGACCAAGTGAAATCTTAGGCTATGCTTTGTTGTTCCGCGGAGGTACAGGATAAAGAATGGGAGAGAAAAAGAAAAGACAGCGAAAGCTTCAGAACGTTCCACAGATTCCATGCGTTCGCGTCCCTGCCTCCGCCTCGGACACGGCGTTGCTGAAGGTACAGCATCTTCCTCCGGGGTGAAGAGGCCTTGCGTGTCTCTCCTTCGGGCCTGAGGACTTTGCTTTCCCGGCGTTGGGGAGAATCCCGGGCCGGTGTGGGTGGGGTACGTGTTGACAGCGTGGGTGAGAGAGTAAATGAGCTTGGACAACCTGCTCCGACACCCGTCCGTTTCAGGGGCTCCAGGAGATGGTCACGTCTTCACTGCTAACCCTCCACCGGAGTTGGGAAACTCACGGATTGACCACGCTGGGGCTCTTTTCTAGAAAGCTCCATTAGCTCCTTTTAGTTAAAATGAGCAAAAGGCATTCTCTTTGTAAAAATTTCGGTTCTCTTCCATCATTCCCTTAAGGAGGAATAAGCAACGGGAGAAGACGATTAGAAACGTTACTATTCCTTCTGATTTAGGAAGTTGAGAGTCTACCAAGGAAAAGAAGTAGGCTTTTTCTTCTTATTAAAAAAAAACATACCTTTTAAGGATTTCTTTTACATCATAGAAACTCCCATTGCATTTTGGAGATTCGCTCCTGAAATTGGCTTGTAATTTTTATATTACATTGTTCTCAATCATTTGAAAAGGCTTAATTAGGGATCCGTTTTTTTCTTCAAATATATTACCTTTCAAAATATCTAAGTCAGAAACTGTGAAGCTGAAACGATGTCCTGAATTGTGAAGTACTTGACTTCGCCACTTTCACTCTGGATATATTTTCGATATTGCTGAAGGTCTCTAGATCGCAAAAAAAAATCTGACTCATGTATTTCAAGTCCACCCAACATTTCTAACAAACGAAAGTCACTTAACTTTTATAAATAATTACCTTAAGTTTAGTTTCTATGACAATGGTGATTTTTTTTTTAATTCTGTCATTGTTTTGAATTTTTTAATTCTGTCATTGTTTTGATCACCATTCTATGACAATGGTGATTGTTTTTTTTTTTTTTTAATTCTGTCATTGTTTTGAATTTTTTTAATTCTGTCATTGTTTTGAATTTGGCCTGGGGTAAACTTATTTTATCTTGACTTTTCTAGAATGTTGATGCTACGGCCTCAGTTTCCCCGTCTGCATATAATGAGCCCTTAAGCTCTATTAGGTATTCAGTGGTAATTGAAGTCCAGCCCTTCCTGTTCGTCCCTAGCTCTAAATGGTAGCCTTATAAATGGTCGACCTACTACTAAGAGCCTGCCTGTCTTTAAGCCTGTTCACCACAGCACGGCCACAGTAATCTTTCTGAAATGCAGATCCGCTGTGACATTTGGGGTTGGGTAATTGTTTGTCGCGAGGACTGGAGGCTGTCTCACGCACTGCAGGCTGGTCAGCAGCACCCCCGGCCTCTACACCGAACACCAGTCGCGTCCCTTCTCCGTCCGCCATTTATGACAACCAAACACTTCTCCAGACATTGCCAAATGTCTCCTAAGGGTCCAAGTCACTCTTGTTGAGAACCACTGCCTTAAATGGCTCCTCGTGTAAAAGGTAACCCCTAAATTCTTAACACGTCATAAAAGGTCTCCCCCACCTGACTCTACAGCTCAGGCTCCATGTCCTGGTTGAAGGAAAGAAAAGTCTGCTTCCAAATATATCCAAATATTTTGTGCCACGTGAGAAAATTCGTATCGCTTTCTCTCTCTAATTAGCCCTTCTTTTTCTGCCAGTGTAGTGGTTCTCAAATTTTAGGGTGTACCTATCAGAATTGCCTGGAGGGCTTATGGGCCCCAGGCCCACAGTTTCTGATTCTAGAGCTCTGGGGTGGGGCCTGAAAATCTGTATTTCTGACAAGTCACCAGAGGATGCTAAGGCCTTTTGAGGACCAGGACTAGTCCTTTTAAGGACTTCCTTCCCACGCTGAAGACTCAGACGTGTTGATCATTTCATTTAGAACCCTTCCTTGACTGCTATAGGCGGAAGGAGTTTTTCTTCTGTGTCCATAGCACCTTATTGCTAACGATATTGAAACCTTATCACGGTGCCCGTCCATCTACCTCCCTATCTCCCCCGCTTCCTGACAGCTCTCAGGGGAAAGTTCTCTTTTACCATCCAGAGGCCTGGCATACTTCAGTCCCTGTGTAGATTCTCACAGCCTACCTTCCTCAGCAAGGGTGATAATAGATCGGTAACAACACGCTGCATCTCCCTCGGCCCGATGATTTGACCTACTGACCTAGAATCTTTTACTTACCTATTTCGCCTTCGCACAGGCCAGTGGAAGATTGTTTAAGCCAATTAAACGAGGAAACTACCCAATTGTTTTTTCCAATTGTTTTGTATATGTAGTGAGAACGAGAGAGAGAGAGAGAGAGAGAGAGAGAGAGAGAGAGAGAGAGAGAAGCGTCTTATTTCTGTCACCGTTGGGGCCGATCAGAGTTCAATGTCGCCCCAGCGGCCGGGGGAGGGTGAGGCATAGATGGTGCAGACGTGCAGTTAGCATTTGTCCTCGGTTCTTCTTCACTGATGCAGCGAAGAATCACAGGTCAGTGAGATTTAATAGTTTTATTACAAGTAAGTTTTAGAAAGACAAAGTATGACCCAAGGAGGCACATGGTCCCAGGGCTATAACCAGCACAAAGGGGCCAAAATGGCTACAAAGAGCTAAAAGGCCACAAAAGGCCACCAAAAAGGAAGGGGAGCCCCAAAGGGCAAAAAAGGCCTAGACGCGGGAATGTCTGCCTTATATTTGGCCATGATGGGTGGTACCAAAGGCATTCCTAGGTGACTGCAGGTGAGGTCATTCTGACTGACACCTGATTGATACCAGGCAATAACTTTGCCTAGTGTGCATGTGCGTACCCCAAATTCTACTACCACTTGAGGTGTTCTCTGGGCTGGGCCCCCATTCCTCTGTTCCCCCTTGTTGCTCATGTCTGACTCGCTGCCCAACACTTCCTGGGCAGTCAGCTTTGAATGCACCACACTGACTCCTAGAGCCGCGGCCACCTGACCGGAATCACCTGCTCTCTGCCAGGGCCTCACCCCGGGGCAGCAGCGCTACCTCTACAGCACCGTGCAGGCCTACAGCTCCAGGCAGCAGTGGGAGGCCTTGGGGACCCGCTTCGTCCACAGCGTCCAGCAGCAGTGGCTGCTCGGTGAGTGGGATGCCTGACCCGGACCCAGCACCGCAGCTGGATGTCGGGTTTCCTGACCAATAAATTCCAGTGGCATGGCTTCTGCCAGCACGCTATTTGATCCATGTGGTTGGCTGGCCATGTTTAAAAATGATTATCTCTGATACCCGAAAGCAAGGTTTTAAGGATAAATTAAGTGGGGTTAAAAAAATCCAAGGATGGATTGTTATAAAGCGTTAAGAACTCTGCGAGGTACAGGAACTCGATCCGGCAGAACTGACCGTGGCCTGAGGCAGGTGGTCCAGGCTCAGAGCCCAGCTCAGAGCCCCGCGGGCTGTGCAGCCTCAGAGCTGCGTTTACTCATAGCAGGAAAACTGATATCACTGAGCATCCACCGCACTCCAGTGCTTGGAGATCGACATGCACTTTCTCATTTCCTCCCCGCTCTACCGTTGTGGGAAACTGCAGCTCAGGCAGGTTATGTGACTTGAGCAAGATCACACGGATGGAAGTGTCCGCGGGACCATCTCCAGCACAGATAGTGCGTTTCACCCCCATGCTCATTCTGCTGCCTGGTCTCTTCCACCAGCCTCATGGGATTTCACCAGGGACAAATGAAATAATGGTTCCGAGAGAGTTTCATAGATCGTAACATACAGAAAGGTGTAATTGTCATTAAATCCCTTCTCTTATTGGAAATATTTTCATCTTCAGTGCCCCCGCCATGCCCACAGAGCTCTATTATTATTTTTTTTATAAACCACCCATGTGGCACTAGCACATCTACCTTACATGGTTGTTTCTGTATTTGCACAAAAGGAAACCACGGTTTTTGCAAGTGCTTTAATAACAAAAGCAATGAGCAGTAGTTATCTCGTGTTATCTCATATCGGGGTTTCCTATGTGCCAGCTACTGCTCTAAGCACTTTGCAAGTATTGTCTTTTTTGAAACTCAGACACGTCTACATGGCCGGTGCCTTTACAGCCCACATTTTACAGATGAGAAAACTGAGGCATGGAAAAGTTAAATAACACGACCAGGGTCATGTAACTAGTAAATGGCGGAGCTGTGACTCAGTGGGTCCCCGTGATTGTCTGAAGTATTGCAGAAGCATCATCTAGTAGCTTTGTCTGCAGAGTAAAATTGCTTAAAAGCCAAAAAAACAAGGAGCAGAATATTCAAAGTTTAGTGCACATGAAAGCCACCTATATATGTTATGAAAATGTAGTTTTTCAAGCCTAAATCCCTGAGCTTCTGATTTGAAAAGTCTTTGGAGTAGAGTCAGAAATCTGCATTTTTAAAAAGCATTAAATGTGGTCTCAGCTAGCAGATTCCGAAGGGGTCTGCAGACCGTACTTTAAAAACAGAGAAAGATTGAGTGTATCTGTTTCTGGTTTGAAGAAAATCTTAATACGGAAGATAAGCATTGGCTCACGCCCTTCTCCAAATCATCTGCCATGATAACCAATGACTATGCGCTAATTAATTTATTGGATGAGGAAATGCAAAAGTAGAAAAATATACTTCCTGCCCTCAAAGATCATACAATCTGGCTGTGCTAAACACAGTTTTCTCTACCCTGCAAAGCAGAAAAAATTTTGTGAATATTTGCAGTGTTGTTTGCTTATTTGTTCTGTAAAATTGTAGACCTTGAAGTTTCTCTCATTTCTTTCCCCCTAGGCTACATTACTCAACAGGAGGCCTTGGCTTGTGCAGTTATTCTTAGAGATTCAATCAAGAAAGCCTCAGCCAAGGAAGCTCTTCAGAGAACTATTCCCCGGAGGGCTTCAGCCATGACAAGAACAAGGCCACCAGCACGCCCTGTGTCTGTGGTTCGACCCAGGGCCCTAAGCACAGGGCTCTGATCCCTTGGGAACCAAAACTTTGCACAAGCTCTGACACAGGCAGTTCGCTCATATACCCACGGCATCTACTGAGTGCTTAGCATCTATACGTTGAATGAGAATGAATAATAATAAAAAATTCTCATACAAACCCCACTGCTAGAAATAATCTTTCTCCCATGCACATAAATTCTACCAGCAAGAACAAGTTGAACAGTGCACATAAGTATAAATAAGCCTTTCCCTCCACATATAATCTATAGAGTAAAATGACTTTTGAAGCTTTCAAAGTAAAAGCTTCCTTTGAATTAGAATATCCCAGAGAAGTCCCAAGAACAGTGAAAGAGGACCAGTCAACTGAGGGGGTCAGGTCCTCTATCGTTGAGTGACCATTCCCTGCAAGCCACCTGTTGGACATATTAAAAATACGAAGACCAATACAGATTTGACACTGAGCAGGGCTTCCTGACATAGCTTCTCAGCCACAACTGAACCGGGCATTTTCGTGTCTTCCTTCCTCTCTTCTTCCCCATCATCTTAGCCCCAAATCTTCTGGTTCTCGCCTGACTCAATCCCTTTGCGTTGTCTTGAAACCTGGACTTACTAACCTGTCACAGCTGGGTTCATTCTACATAGCCGTCATTGACCATGACACAGGTGAAGGAATCCATTCCCACAGAAATAGCCCCAAAGAACTAATCTCAAGTTTAACCTTTCCATGGGCTCGATGGTTTTACGTAAAGCACACAAGACTATGCAAATAAACAGCAAACGAGGTAACGGTGAGTTAAATCATTATATCAAAGTGGTAGTATTATGTTATATTTAATATTATTTTCATCATCAGTGATTTTTTGTATGTTAAAAATGAGTCACCAGGGTTCGCAAAAGTCAAAATAAAAACTGCCTTGCCTTCGTCTTCTTTCTAAATGACCAACCCTCTTTCCTCATTCAAATCAGCCAGTAGCTTTGTCATGCTCATGGAAGGAGCGTGTTGGCCCACTTTGAGTCTCACAAGAAGACTTGGGAAAGCCAAAGCTGACCTCAGGGGTTCATGCGCTTAACTACAAAGAAGCTTCTTGACCCCTGCATGTCCTCGCCCTGACTCACGCACTCTAAGTAGTTTTACAATTCCAAGTCCAGGACAATTAGGTAGGCTCCAAAAAGAACAAAAAATCAAATGGCACTGGGGAGAGATATTTGGGAGCCCTCTTAAGGCTGTAAATATTTTAATGTAAGCCTTTGTCTAAACCTGTTTTTATTTCTCTTGGATAGACGCGGTGGAGTGTGACCGCTGACTCATATAGTAGATTTAGGTTTAATTCGATAAGACACTACCTCGGTATTTTTCAAAGTGGCCACACCATTTGCATTTCCATTTGCCTTCCCATCCTCGAAATACCAGACATTTCGTTATTTGTATTCTAGTGACTGTGCTTGCTGGGCAAAAGAAAACTTGGCTGCTTTATTAACTATAGTCACCTCCTTATTTGGAATAATGGCAAATTTCTGGGAAGGAGGCCATGACGGACTTGGGGATGGTGATGGCAATTTTCTGGGAGATTTAATAGAATTTTTAAAGTTTAGTAATCAACCCTGATAAGGCAACTCTCTAGCTTCTTTTGGGGGAGGAAAGTGTATGAAGAGGTGGAGGAGGAGGAGGAGGAGGAGGAGGAGGAGGAACCTCTGCTGGAAAAACCACCCCTGGACAAAACTGTGACGCGGGTTCAGTGTATCCTCAGTAACTTCTCGCTTTTCCTTACTTACGCTGTTTTCCATGTTCAGCAGCCAGCAACCCACCGGCACCCCGAAAATTTTCTGCGCTGGATTAGATATCTACTGACACATGAAAATTACTCTAAAACTTACTGACTTAAAATAGTAATATTTACCGTCTCCCAGCTTCTGCGGTCAGTAGTCTGGGCACGGCTTAGCTGGGGCTCCCGGCTCAGGGTCTCTCGCAGACTGCAGCCAAGGTGTCAGCTTGGTTATGGTGGTCCCAGCTGAAGATCTAACTGGGGGAAGATCTGTTTCCAAGCTCACTCTTGCTCTGGTTGGCAGAATTTAGTTCCCTGGGGGCTGTCGGACTCAAGCGTTTCAGTTCCTTATAGGCTATTGTCTGGAGGCCACTCTCAGCTCCCTGCCACATAGATGTCTTAGTAGGGCAGCTCACAGATGGGGACTTGTTTCATCAGAGTTGGAAAATGAGAGAGAGAGAGACAGAGACAGAGAGAGAGAGACAGAAACAGAGAGGTAAAGGTCACGGTCTTTTATAATCTGATCTTGGAAGTGACATCCATCACCTTTGCTACATTCTACTCATTAGAAACAAGTCACTGGGTCCAACGCACACACAAGAATAGTGGATTTCACAAGGGAATAACTAGTAGAAGGTGGCGATCATCGGGAGCCATCTCAGAAGCTGTCTACCAAAGCCGGGGCTAGGCTGAGGTGACGACGTTTCTGAGGGTGCACTTGTTACCGCATGACCCTGGGAGTGAATCCAATGGGGCCCTCTCCAGACACCTCATTGCCGCGCTTTAGTCTCAACCCTGCTGCCTGCCACATGCACCTAACCCCCTATAATCCCCCAGTGAGAGCTCCGTGCCTGGACTCCCAGTCTGAGCCTGCTCAGACACCTGCTCCATGATGCGCACTTTCTTCTTGCCATGAGCCTCCCTTGAAGCTTAGCTGTTTTGTGTTCTAATCCGCCAACAGCTGTTGGGGGAAAAATGATTTCGGATAAGCCTAAGACATTTAATAATGAATACCTAGTTCATGTGTAATCTATACATGCAAAGCAGTATTTATCAAAATACAATCCATATACCAGACTCACTGAGAACGTTGAAGGAAAATGCAAAGTCTTGGGTCCCCTCCTAGACCCAGTGAATCAGAATCTGAGAGATAGTATCCCAGGCGACACCAACATTTACTAAAGAGTGACAGCCCTTTGCATTTAAGAAGTGATTTCAGTAGTTATGATGCTTTAACTCTAATAAAATGAATTTCTGTTTGACAAATTTGGCAAAAATTTAGGAGCAAAGACTTCACGATGAGAGAGGCTTTGGGGGTAGAAGTATCCCCTTAATAATGTCCAATAATCCATGTAAATACATCGCTTGTTATTCTTGCTTAAAGCCAAGTCACACCAACGGTATGTTATAATAGTACTCGCATCTACTAAAATGACTTATTTTTCCTAGACTTGGTGTTACTAAATATGCACTACGATTTCACCAAAATGAACCCTGACGTGGCTTTTCCTCTCATTCCCTATTTTGTGACGGAAGTGATAAGAACATGTTCAAGAGTCCGGCAGCCTTTCAACTAAACTGAGTTGCTGAGTGCATCGGTGCTTCGGCAGAAGCCATCACACTGGCCTCACCGGCCCCGTTTCCCCTCTAAGTTACAAGCTATTGCCTGAAATGTAATCAATTCCTGTGTTGGAAATCGATCCCTTGTCTGCCTCCAGAGGATTCTCCCTCGTTTTTCTCCACCTGAGAGCTATCACACAAACCAGGTACACAATCGAGTCGGTCAGGTCAGAGGTGGGAAATCCCGATCGTTATCGGAAACCACAGCATAGGTGCGGGGTCCGAGGCCATTACCAGCAGCTGAGCCAAACGCATCTCCCTGACTCGTGGAGCGCAGTGGACCAGAGGGTTCTAGAGGAAGAAACTTCCTACTTTAAAAACGATGCAATGAGTCCAGAAGGATGACCGAAATGACTTGACGAGGTATCGTAGGAAGTCAGCGATGTTTCAGAAGCCCAGTTTTGTATATATGAAAATGAATCACATCGCTGTAAATATAGTACTTATTTCTATGCACCAAGCTATTATAGTATGTGTTGTGTTGTGTATTCATGTAAATAAGGAACGATCAGAAGGTAAAGTCCCACAGATCAGGGGGTTCTGTTTGAAGCACATCTAAGTTTGGGTGGGGCGGAAAGGGTTGGAAAGGAGGGGGAGGCTGCCGGTGGGTCAGATGATGTGGAAAAGGCAGAGAGTCGGTGTAAACGGGACTCTAGTTCCTAACAGAATGGTCGGAGAGCTGAAAAAGCTGAGAGGTATGCCAAATGCATTTTGACCGGGTTGATGAAAATGTCAGTTAAGAAACGCAGGAAACCAGACGAGGAGTTAATTAAGATCAAAAGGACAAATGCATCATCCAGATAAGTTAAATGACCTTCAATTTTGGGAAGAGGAAATCAGATGTTAAGGTTCAAGCTTTCAGGTCCTTTTCTACAAGAAAAAAGGGTATTTTGATTTTGCTCCCAGTTGTGATGTGTGGGTGCTCTCCGCATACCAAGCAGTCTTGGACACCAGCTGTGTCCCACATTTAATTCAGTTCTGACACTAGCTACTGAGAGTTAGCCTCAGATTCTCACTGGACTGTCCCCACTTCAAATGCCAATTGCAAGCCAGGTTGTTACCTGAGCTTCTGACCGACTGCCTGTGAATCAGAGTTCCCACGACCCCCTTTCTGGTCTTGATTAATTTACTAGAGCGGCTCACAGAACACAACAAAACTTACTAGATTAATGGTTTATTATAAAAGGATATAATCCAGGAACAGCCAAATGGAAGCAATGCATAGAGCGAGGGATACGGGCAGGGGCTGGAAGCTTCCGCGTCCTCGTCACATGGGCCGCTGTCCCTGCATCTATCTGTGTGTGCTCACTAACCCCACAGCTCTCAGAACCCTGTCTTTCTGGATTTTTATGGAGGTCTCATTAAGTAGTCATGATTGATCAAATCGCTGGCCGTTGGTGATCCAGCTCCATCTCCAGCCCCTCTGCATTCCTCCAGGGAGGTGGGGCGGGGCCGGGCGGGAGGGACTCTCAGTTCTAAGGCTCTGATCACCTGCTCGGTTCCACTGGCTCCTTAGGTGCTTTCCAAAAATCACCTCGTTACTATAACCAAAGACACCTTTATCATCCCGAGCACAGAAAATCCAAGGATATGAAGAACTCTGTGCCACAAACAGGGCCGAAACCAAATGTATATTTCTTATTATAAATCGCAATGTCACAGACACACACACACACAC